CCCCTGCCTCTCTCCTCGTCCTCCCGGCAACTGCCGGCAGTCCCTTTGTGGGTCTCGCAGCCGGAAAGCATGGAGAGGATCCCAGGGGATTGCCTCAACGCTTTATTTCCAACTTGAGCAGTTCTCTTCCTTGGTGCCGAGAGGCTGCTGTCCCAGCAAGATGGGAGGAACAGCAGGCATGGAGTCCAAACCCAGGACATGGGGATTTATTTTTATTTTGTTGGAGGTTTAGGGAAAGGCAAAGCCTCAGGGCCAGCCACGTGCTGGATGCTGCCTGTTGAACCAGGAGTTCTGGAAGTGGGTGGAAGCAGAAGAAATTCGCTCTCCCAGGAAGGAGCCACGAGGCCCACATTGTCAGGGGATGGACGTATGTGCCCAACTCACAGTAGCTGATAAGGCACTTGAAATGACTACAAGCCATGAGGCAACCTGCTGCCACCCTCCTTCCTTCCCTGCTGCCCCCGGGTGCTTCGCAGGTTGACCTACAGAGAACGAGGTGTTGCTGGAGAGCTGGTGGCCCTGGCTCAAGCTGTCAGCGCAGCATGCGCGGGCGGTGTTGGGCCACGCTCACTGGTGGAATTTCTTGCTCGGGCTGTTGGCATAGTCCAGCAGCAGCTGGCATGGCGTGAAGTGGCTGGGGGGGGCGGGGCGGCCTTTTTCTGCTTGGCTCCGTATGAGTCCGCGTACCTGAAGGGACCTGCCGGGGACAGGGACACACACCTGCGTCAGGGAAGCGAGAAGCACCAGGGGGCATGGAGAGGTGACAGCACTGGATTCGGCCCCTCCATCCTTCCCCAGAAAAGACCCCCAAGTCTCTGGGCAGGGCAATGGGGGACACTGCCTCCACTCAGTGCAGAAGAGCAGGCGGGGAGCAGCCTGGACTGCTGGGGACAAGCTGGGACAGAGATGGGACTCCTTCCCTAGTCTGAGCTTGTCTCAAGGAGGGAAAGTGCCAGGTACTTGGCAGCAGCACTGCCTCAAGCCCGTGAGACCTTCAGTTGTGACCCAAACCTCAGCTCGTGTTTCGTCCACTGCCCAGACCATGGCAGAGCCACCCAGCCAGGCTGCAGGTGGGTCCAGGAGCACTTTGCCCAATCTTAGCCAGGCCCACCAAGCACCTTGGCCTGAGAATTGCTGTGCACCACGGCTGAGGTTATCCGCTCAGCTCTATCTGTGCAGCGTGAGAGTGTGAGCAGAATGGTGCGTCCCTGGGAACCGTTTCCCAGCTGGGTGTGCAGCATAGGACCAGGTTTCCAGAAGCACTGCAAGACACCTGCCTGCCCACCCAGGTGAGTAGCAGTGGCAAGAGATGAGATACCAGAGCCTCGTTTTTCACTGAGCACCATACAGCTACACAAAACCCAGGGATTTCTTAAAAACGTAAGGTTTTTAAGAGATTTGCAAATCTCCCAGCCCACCTACATCCCCATGACTATCAGGCGTGGCAAGAGCTCTTCCTTTGGAGTTATGGGAAGTGCTGATGAGGCTGGGGCCAGCATGGCTCTGCTGCCTTGTTCAAACCTGAAGACACAGCAAATGGCCTGGTTAAAGTCCCTTCACCCTCACCAGATGCAGCCCTGCGAAACAGCTGCACCAGCAAAGGAATCCCACAGTGTCCTGGCAGAAACGTCTTACAGCAGCTCTCAACCTCACTGCCACCTCTCGTGGGGTGGGAACACTGGAGCAACGTCTCTGGCTCAGGCTTTATGTGGGATAAGGACACTCTTAAGGATAAGGCTTGTCAAATTGCAGCTCAAATCTGGCCTTAGCAGCTGACCCACCTCTGATGTTTAAGGCCCACTAGACAAGCCCACTACGAAGCTTTCAAGCCCAGCCCAAACCCCAGCTGAAACCACCTACCTCCCAGGTATGGCGGGAAGCCTAAGCCGAACACAGCACCAATATCTCCCTCCACGGGGTTGCTGAGGATCCCTTCCTGCAGGCACATGACTGCCTCGTTCACAAACTTTGTCACCAAGCGCATCTGGATGTCCTCATCAGTGCAGCTGCAAAGAAAAGAGTCTGTAAGGGCTGCGCAGGTAAGGCAGCAGCTGGATGGAGGAGCACATGAAGCCAGCACAGACCAGGGAGAGAGCCAGCCCTGAGCGAGGGGAGAGAACAGTTTCTCACTGAGATTGTCCCTCTCTGTGAGAGGATAAGGACTAAGTTCTGAAGCAGGCACGTGAGAATGGCAAAGGCTCAATCAGGCCAGGTGGGAACTGCTTCAGGAGACGTTTCAGTGGCAGGTTGTAGAACAGGTCCGATGCCAGGGAGGTCACGGCAGGGGCTGCACTGACCTGCTCGCCCGAACAAGCCCCACCACTGAAAAGCTTTCTGCAAAGGTGCCCAAGCAAACACTGATAAATTTGAGGATGCCCCATTCCTGCAAGCACAGGCTGTCCAGAGCCAACAGCCCGCGCCGCCACACACCAGCTGGAACGGCCAAACACCATCTGGAGTGACTCCGTGTTCAGCAATGTCATCCCGTGCTGCTGCTCAGAGGCAGAAGGAGCTGGGCAGGGGCGAGAGCCCGCCCGCACCAGCGCCCCGCGCGCAGCTACTCACACTTCAGGTTTGGCTGGCACTTTGAACCGTGCCAAGATCTCCTCCATGCCTGAATTCACGCTCCTGTTCTTCACCCCCTCCTGGTAAACATAGAAGCCTTTCCCTGCCTTGCGACCTGCCGAGGATAAAGAGAGACGGTCACATCCTGCTACGCGTCCTGTGTGCTTGCGACATCTTCGCCTCTTATCCCGTGCCTCCTGCTTTTGTTAGCATGAGCAGACTCTCCCAGTGCAGGCAGCGTCTCCGCACTTCAGAGCACGCCCGTTTGCTGCCCTACCAGGGACACAGGGAAGGGGGCACACATCCAGCTGAATCCTCAGCAAGATGCTGCCACTGTGCCAGGCCCCTAACGCCTTCACTAGGTCCAGAGGACAGTCAAATAACGCCACTGTTTTTGCAGCCACAACAGCAAAAAGACAGTCCTCAAGGATAAGGGACAGAGATGACAAGATCTCCCAAACAACCCTCGCTGCCAGGGGCCTGGTCCCAGCAAGGGGCATCGGAGGGTGAGAGCTGTGGCGGCCCGCACCGATGTGTGCTGCTCCGCCCTGGCGTGCTCAGAGCCACAGCTGCCTCTGGCACCCAGTGCCACCAGGGCTTCTAACGAAGGGACAGACAATTTTTCTTTGCACAGAGCTTCTAAACCTCAGCTCAGGGCTTCTTTCCCTTGAGAATAGGTATTTCCAGCCACTTGCTCCCTACATCCCAGAGCACTTGTTCAGGTTTAACAAAGGGGCCGGACAGAGGTTCATGAGATCTTGTCTGCTGCCTTTGCTCTGGGCAGCATCTTTGCCTGGTGCTGCCGTTTCTGCAAAGGAAGTTCTGGCAGCAGTCAAAGGTCTACCCAGGGTACAGCTGGGAGGGATTCTCCACCCATCCCCAGGACCGTTCTCTGCTGTCACCTGAGCCCGAACAGGCTGATGGATGCTAGTGCTTTTCCTTGAACAAAGGGGAAACGTGTTAAATTAGAACAGCCTAGTGTCTCACCTAAAAAGCCTTTTTCAACCATGACCTTGAAGAACTCGATGCCACTCCCTCCAAAGCGCTCGCCAAAGGCCTTGCTGAGGTCCTCAGCCACGTGCGCGGCCACATCCACACCCACCTCGTCGATCAGCGTGGCAGCACCAACAGGAAAGCCGAAGGCCGTAGAGATGGTGTCTATTTTCTTTGGGTCAATGCCCTCCTGCAGGAACAGAAGGGAAAGCAATGGTGTATCTGGTTGAGGGTCCTGGAAACCCAGCATGGGGTCACAAAGCCGTTGCTCATCTGAAACCACAGACTGTGACCAGCCCCATTAGCCATTTGATTACGGACAGGAGTGGTGTAATCGTGCCGGCACCACTCCTGACTTTCCCTCGGTGCCACGTGGAGAGGAAAGAGCCTCACCACTGCCTGTGCCAGGTCTCATCAGACCACAGCTCAGCCAAGAGCAGGCTGGCCACAACCACGGGCACCAGGGCTGGTTACCCACCTCCCTTCTTGGCCAGAGCTGGGGTCAGCCTGGTCAGGGGACAAGGAAGAAGCAGAGTTTACGTGACTATTTAGTAGATGCTCGGTAGCTGATGGGATACACACCTGGAGAACTCGGACCACTTCTGCCAGCATCGGCCCCAGGCACCTGGTGGTGTAGAAGCCA